TGAGGCCAAAAATAAAAAAAAAAAAAAAAAAAAAAAGTGAGATTTTAGCGTCCAACTAAAATGTTTGAGAAATAAAACGTTCTATGAACGATGTACCTTGTAGGCTAAATAATGTTTTTGTGCTAACATTTTGAGAACATTATTAAAGATCAAATAACTCTGAACAAACATTCACATTACTAGAAGATCGTTTGTTCATAACGAGAATCTTCCAGAAAGTTAACCAAAGTTCTGAGAACGTTCCTTGTTAACTGCAGATAATGTGCAGTCAGTCATTATAGCAAAATAGTCCCTTTCTAGGGTGCTGTTCCTTACTTACTGATTAAAGGAATTCCTTACGTTATTAAGTTTAATAAAATCTCTGATTATAGTCAGTTATGAAAGCTGCTTATTCAATTCATTGGATCCAGTGAAGTAAACACTTGTCTAACGAGTCCTCCAGAAATGTCATTATTCAATAGTGCTCTCTATAAAGCCCAAAGTCATTATGCAGCTATATGTACATTAAATCTGTCTGTAATTTGGCACTATGTCCAATAGGGTAACATTAAGTACATTTTAACACACAATACAGTATACAATTATATACAGTAAATATACAGCTAGTGGAAACTATTTAGAAATTAAATGGTATTTCTCACTTTATAAACAACAGGTGGCAGCAGCAGACAATCAGTCCTGCAGCTCTCACTTATCACAGTCTGGAGACCTGGTCTAGGTATTAAATAACTGAATAATGTTTTTCTTGTGGCCCCAATTTCATCTCTGAAAGTAAGTCGTGACACAACCGTTTATGTATTTATTTATTTAGTGGCTACAAAACATGTCCACATGATTCAAAACAATTATCAAACAGGCTGTAAAACAATACCCTCAAAGGCAGTTTGTTTTACAGCAATTAATAACCACCATATCAAATTTGTTCTTCTATGTTTACTCCATGTTTCATATAAAGAACATTTACACAGGTCATTTAAGTTCTGTAAAAGGTAGCAATGAACTAATGCTGAAGAACGCTATCATACAAATTGACAAGTTATCAGTGTTGTAGGGAGGAAGGAAAATATATGAGAAATATGGGTAACACTTTATTTTAAGGTGTCCTTGTTACACGTTACATGTACTTACTATTATAATAAATAATTAGGCATAATTACATGCAAGTAACCCTAAGCCAAACCAAAATCCTAACGATATATATTAAAAATGATTTTATGCTTTAAATGTGCTTTAAAATATATATATACACATACACATACACACTGTACCTGTACCCTGTACTTTTTAGGTTGCTCATATTCATAAAACACACAATCAAAGTTAAAGTTTAACTCACTACATATGCTTTGATAAATCCTTATCAGTTGTGGTTCAGTGTTATCACACCACGAGGAAGAAAATACAGTATGTGACCTTATAGATACAACAGAGCTGAAAAACAGAACCAGAAGGTAGAATGAGAAAGAAATAACTCCTTATTTTGAGCAAATGAAATTCCTCTGTCAAATGTCATTGACGTTTACATAAATTATAAATAACAGAACAGTACTGTTCAAATCACATTCTTTTGGAAAATATAATGAACAAAATATGCAATAACAGCTATATGTCCATCGGACAATTGTCAATTCTGTTACTTTACAATTCTGTTACTTAAAGGGTCAACTCTGTTTATGAACTATTTTCACAAAAA